GCGCATGTTAGGACGGGAGCCGCTACGCTTCGACAGCTGGCGGGCTGATAGTCACGCACACCCAAACTATGTGTGGTCGTACCATGTGTCTTTAAGACAGCTTTATTTCCGGAGTGAGTAGTAGATCGCTATGCAGTGAGTTGCAAATCAAAGTCCGCCGACGTTAGCCAGGCAGCTCTGCAATATGTAGCACTGCCTTCGCGATGACGACCGCGTTGTCTTTCTCGTTGTCTTGCCCCGAATGTGTGATGAGTAATCGCTGCTTCTGTTGACAAAAGAAACCACATCCGGCACCAATATTCATTATGAAAGAGAATATAACAGAGCTAGAAAGGGTTACACACGCATTCAGAGACTACTCGAGTAAATTACGACGTCACTACAAGTACTACAATTGACGGAGTGTGACACGACGTTGCGACAAGATACGATATGAGGTGAACATATTCATCTATCACTCAGACGAGATATTTGGTTATGCTTTGATTCGAATGCCTCGGGTGAATGACGGATTGATTGATTGATTGATTCATGGATCGATTCGCGAATCGATCGATCAATGAGTAGTACAATCAGTAGTATGAACATTAAAGCGTGCGATATGGTTAGATAGCACTAAAAGTGAGCATATTTCATTAAATTGCCAATTGATTTGAGAACAAGCACATTATAGTACCACACCATTGGATCACATCATCATTAAGTGCGCCAAAATATTACAGAAAAATAAAGAGAGATGAAACACCAGACACGCTTATAGATTCAGCAGCTTTGACATTCGGAGCACTGAGAGAAAACAATTTGAACAAAGCAGTACCACAGAAGGAAGTTTTTCCGGCGTTTTGGTCACAAAGAAGTTCACCACGCTCGAGACGCGTGCAGTCGCGGCGCGACGCGCCGTTATTTTCGACCAAACCACCGACTACACTTCAACAAAACAGCACTACTAAACTACAACAGAACTATGGAGAATCTAAAAAATCATACTTCAATTCTCATCAAAGAATCACAATATCAGAATGGTAAAGACACTTCGCTAAACAGACTGCATTCGAACACAGATATTGATTGATCAATAACACTTCCCTTGAACACCGAAGTAATAAAGAAGTCAAAATAAAAACCTCGCGAAAGGCAAAGAATCACGTCAGAGATGAGTAGCTTGTTTTAGGATTATCACAATGGCGAAGACAGCACCTATTGGCGAACAACAGTTTTGACGCGCAACTCACATAGAGATATTGATTTATCGATCTGCCGTTGGAACATAAGCTCTCTTTCAACACAGTACTTCACACACACGTAATTATAGCCCATTTCGTCCTTACTAGCAGCATTGGGATTACAGATACGCAGCTGACAGATGCCGCACCAATGACCTGTGGTGCGTAACTGCACAACAGAAGACGCGACACGCCACACGCGTTACGTCGCATCGTTTCGCTATGGACACACGTCTCATCAGCGAGAGAGTTCACAATTGCACAACAAAATAAGGGGTGACAAGCGCCGTGCATTAGTTCGCAATCACACAACGAACGACATGAACGGAAGTAGGACTGTGAATGCGAGCCGCAGTCGACACGTGCCGCACAGATGAATTGCGGTCGGCAATTACAGAAAACACGCCCTAAATGAAACGCGTCACATCGTGAGGTTGCGGTGGGTTACACAACAACACAAGCCATGGTGATACGCGCCGCGCACGTGTCCGTAACTGCACAACAGAACAACTCGCGGTCGACACGCGCCGCGCACCAGTCCGAAATTACACAACAGCTCGCTGTCGACACGGCCGCGCCAATGATATGTAGTCCGCATTTGCACAAAAATATCTGGCAATCGACATGAGACACATGAGTAAAATGGCCCGCAATTACACAAGAAGGCAAGCTGTGCTCGACACGCGCCGCGCTCCAGTCCGCAATTACATGACAGAGCATTACGGGGACGAAATGGGCTACAAACTCAGAATAAAGCCGGTTATATTGTAGCACGCGAGGAATATGATTAATGCCATACGAGTCTATGATGATGAGCGTTTAGTGTGTACAAGTGATTTGGGTTAGATTCAAAACACAGCACATTGATGAGAATAAACCGCATTTAGGTAAGAGAATATGGTACGGATATAACACAGGTTGACACTGAGAATAAATGAAGGGATGAATGGGGGCATAATTTGAATAGGTGAGTGAATGAGAACAGAAAGAAACCGATAACATTTCACCACAGCACACCGATTATGAGCAAAAGCCATCGCGACTATGTAGAAGGAAGATCTAGATCACGGTCAAGCACACGTAGATCAATTGGATAACCCTCAGGAAAAAAAAGTAGGGTGCTGAGTTAAGATCTGAGTGTTTTTAAAAGCATGATAGAAAAGACCTTGGAAATTGAGGTTTATGAAAAGAAAGCAAGAGAAGCAGTTACTCAGAATCTAAAAACAACTAGATTGATAGCTATACGGCCTAAAAGAGCAAAGGTTTCTGAGACCCAAAAATAAATAAATTGAACTTGATTCCCGTTTTAGGCTTGACCATGATCTAGATGGGTCGTAAAAATGCACCATAATGTAAGGCTTTGTTCAGTTGTAGGGCCCTCCACAACTAAAAGGAATTGAAGAAAAGCGGCACGAGACGCGAGCGGTCGCGAGGCGTACCACGCCAACGCGACCGCACCAGCCGAAACAATTCTTGATAGGCGGATGCCTAGCAAACTACTACGAACCATAAATTCCTGAATGGGTTTTTCAGGGCAGATTACAACTGAACAAAAGCTTCCACGGTCAGTAAACTTTTTTTGATGGCCAAGGCAAGTTCAACAAACGGAAATGCCTCTTGAACGCGCATGAATTACTTGGGGGACATATCCCGTGACAAGTAGATGGGGAGACCCATATACATTGTTATTCCTTTAGGGAAATGGGCGAACCAATGAGAGATGCACAATGCCTGAGACTCCCCGCCCACCGGCCAATCGTGGAATGTGTCCAGAATCAACCATGCGCCAGTTTTGAGACAAGAAAGATGTCGTGCAGTATCACTATGACTCGACCAATGATTATGAACCGTACGAGGAAAATTTCTGAACTAGTTAACACCGTGAGAATTTAAGGTCACAAAATTCGGAATTAAATTGCAGTTAGTAAATGAATAGAAGTAAGGTTAACTTCAGAAGAATGCACAAATATTGCCCGAATATCATTCTATGGAATTAGTGATTGGAAGCGAAGCATCACCAAAATAGAAAACAAATAAAGAAACAACCAAAAAGACGTAAAAAAGCAGACTTTGCACTACTACCGTAACCGAAGAGCATGGCGTCGATGTGCGCATTAGGCATAAAGCATATCACTGAATAACCGGTCGAATCAACTGAACGTTCTAGAAACCGGACGACGTAGAGAAACATAGAAAGAAACAAATGAGTATAATTAGATCGCTAACCAAACGACGACGATAAGCCATTCCTGAACAACAAAATTAGTTGTTGATAGGATGTGAATAATGTTGAACGTTAGTAATTTTGATACTCGTTTCTTCGAACGATTAGAATTAACGGAAGGAATGGCAAGGACTAGGCTAAAAACGGTTCTGTATCAAATGACTGGACAATGACTGACGCCACCGTTAGTTGCATGGCGATAGAGCGCTCAGCTGCTGTTCTTGTGGTGATACTGGCTGGTCATATGTGCAAAGATTTGAAATTGCATTGTATGCAGCATTCTCGGCAGCCGCTTCCATCGTTGAACCGCGCCCATGACAAACCTGAAAAGTTTGGCCACGTGGGGTTTTCCCTAAACAAATGCAAAAAAAAGAACTGCAAACGGGAAGACTCACGATTGGTCTCTCCAAACCAAGTGATACAAGCGCGAAATACAACGGATCACTTTCATCGGGTGACTAAACGAACAGCTTTACTCTTGCAAATATCAAATCAGATATCAAATCTATGGGCTTTCCTGGGTACTACAACATGCAGCGCAGTTCGGCGACGGAGGCAATTTTGCTTCCTATTAATGTGTCGACCCATCTAGATAGCCTTCTTACTGAGTTGACACGTTTTACCATGGTGGCTAGACGAGCTTGCTCCAGCTTCACAAGAGTTCACAAGTTTCACCAGAGTGAGACTTGTAAACCGGAAGTAGTGAAGCAGTGAAAGTGCAAAATGCCCCCCCCCCCCCGTCGCCGAAGTGCGCCCAACATGCTACCCCTAGCACCAACGAACCGTATCGTACATTTAAATGTGAAATATTGCAAAATTAGTTTATTCAAGGTTGGGATTAGCCTTTGACGGAGCCCCCTTCTTCGGAAATCTTGGAGATAAAACTCTTGTCGTGAGATTGCGCGATCGAAATATGTGACAAAAGTACGAGATCTTTGAGACCAACTAGTCCTTCACGTCATCCTGAGCCCACCAGAATCCGTGGAAAAGGCAACATTGGCGGCGCTCCAAGCAATGCCCCGTCGTTTGCAGGGATAACGACTGTAATCGGTGACGGTTCAGTTGACGTCGAAGATCTCGTAATTGCATAATCTAGCTATCTTCAACCTTCCAAGCTGCGAAAAGGCTATTCACGCCAGAACGTTAGCCCGCAGGCTCCGCGCACAGCCTTGTCTAGAGTTTCAACAAAACAGTCCTACAATACTGCAATGACGAAGCCTGTCGAGATTCTTTGGCCACTGTTTCACAATGTGCGAAGCCATGTCCAGGACACCAAAAACCAGTGAAAATAACATTACCTTGGGAAAGTTTGTGTACTGCACGCTGAACTTGAACGTTTCCGACATGCTATCAAGACGACGTCTAGCACTGAGCAATTGACAGGCTTCCGGATCTGGAGAGCCTGCAAAATCCATGTCAAGCTGTGCACAGTGAATGTATCAAGCAGAAAAGAACTAAATATTCCCAATGGATAGCCGTGTATACCCTGCGAGCTTGTTGCCGCAGCTATTGCCGATGAAAAAAAGCGTTTTTATCAGCCGTGGCGGTTCCCAAGTACCATTCAAAGTATCGCCTTTGGTGTCCATCAAACAGCTAGAAAGCCTTCGAAAGCTCCACAGCAAACTTCTCCATCCCTCCCTTCCATACCCGATACGGAAAAAGGACGTTATGCGCCGATCCCTTGAAATTCGTCATGTTCCTGATTTGTTACAAGTGACTTTATGTACACTCTTGTTCGCTGTGGGTGCTAGGACATGTCAGAGAGCTGGGTTTGGCGCAGCGCCAACCTGTTTTCCGCCAAACCAATTGCTAAAGCCAGCAGATGACAACAAGGGGTGGAATATGGCCTGGCGCCGCCCTAAACCCAGCTCTCTCGACATGCCCCAGCATCAACAAGAGTGTAAGTTTCAAATAGCGATCCTGTGCACCCTTACACTTTCCTGCTACCTTGAAT